CCACGCCAGTGGTTTGTGTAAAACACACACAGGACCTTCCCATGCCCGGGTCACTCACCTTCTCTCTCTCCATCTCTCTCTCTCTCTCTCTCTCTCTCTCTCTCTCTCTCTCTCTCTCTGTCTCATATGACCTGCCAATAAACCCACCAAACACAACAAAACACACCCCATTCACTCCCATGCAACTCTCTTACACACACACACACTGACAAACACACCTTTGCAATGCAATGAAATAAGATGGAAAAGAGCCAGTCGCATTAGTTACTCACCCCACTCATCATCACCAACACACAGACTGTAAAGCCAAACACAGCGCCTTCTGACAGCCTCGACAGGTTCAAAGGAGCAGCGGCAAGCCCGTGCACATAACACACATAATGCGCATAATGCGCATAATGGCGAGGGAGAAGCGGCTCCGCGGGCTGGAGCTGCCCTGTGTACATAAACGGGAAACAGATGACACACACAGCGAGAAAAAAACACAAAGGAGGCCATACAGAGCGGCTGCACCTTCCCCCGTGTCACAGCCTCTCTCACTTTTTTTTTTATCCCGACAAGAAAAGCAACTACAATTTGTGTCACGCGTGTCGTGTCCCTGTCTCTGTGTGTATGTGTGTGTGCGTGTAATGTGGGGTCACTGCTACTGGCGGGGGCTGTTCCTGTATCATCATTAAAAGGAGGAAGTTGATGAAAAATGAAATGTGGAGGGTTTTTTTCTCGTCTTCCTGTTTACTGAACTGAAACTTCCTCAAGGACCTATAGGCCGCTCCAAACACACACACACACACACACACACACACACACACACACACACACACACGCACACGCACACACACACACACATACACACACACGCACACACACACACACCCAACACACACGCACACAGGACTGTGGTTGGGGGGTATGAACCGTTATCTCACACCGGATGTAGAAAATTAATTTTTGTCATGGTGGAAAAGAGGCTGGCTCGACAAAAATGCATTGTGCAAGATGTGTTAATATTATAATTGTAGTTATTAATTATACTGCTAATTGTTGTTGGTAATATTTTATACATTTTGATATTTTGTACCCCAGAAAAACTTAGTTGACCTAGTTTATTTCATTGTATTTTCTTCCATCTTCTGACTGATATTTTGGGCTGATGACGTTCATCGGCTATATACTTTCGGTTAATAATACCACGTTATTATAGGACAGTCTAGGCCTACAGCCTGGAAAAAAACCAAACGTGTGGTGACATCTGAAATTAACCTTTTCTCCATAATTTACCAGAGAAGACTTTTACTTTGAAGAAGAACGTTTTTTTTTCCTCTAAATAATTGATGGCCTGACTCTAAATAGCATTTGTGTGAAGCTGGTGAATAATCATTGTGAAGGTGGAGGGGCAACGCAAGGAATCCCCAGACTGAAAATGCATCGGGGCCCACGGGCTGGCTGCATGCGTATAAAGTGAACGTTATAAATGAGAGTTTGAGAGCAGAGAGGGACTTCCGAGAGCTGAGTCCTCGTCTCTTATTAGCGGGGCGCAGAGGACACCGGATGAAGTGTGTCCGAGGCGAGGAGAGACACACTCAGATACTTAAACACTGTAAGAGCAGGGTTAGGGTTAGTGTGTGGGTAGGCCTGCTCTGTGAAATTTATTGTAGAAAAATAAATAAAGAAGGAAAAAAGGAGGGAAATAAAAGATTTAAAAAACTAATTTGAGAGAGTTAAATAACGTGAATAGATACAAACATAAGACATTACATTTACTATGAAAATATATAGCACATGAGACGTCTGAGGAAAAGTTTAGAAAAAAAATGTCCCCATAGTTTTAATGGAATCCTCTAGAAACTAAACCTATATTTTCACGAACAACACGCACTACTATCTTTTACTGGAGCGTTCAGCCGCATCTCACGGCCTTCCTTATACCTAGTGGCTACGCTATATAATATTTTCTGAAATAAAGTGTTTGCTGCCAAATTAATCAAAATTATTCAAAAATGTATAGTATGTCTGATTTAAAGTAACATCGTGTTGTATGTCAATGCCAAGCTTAGTGTTTGCCGGCGCCCTGTTGGCCCTAACACAAAAAGGAGAACTATTTATTGAATTGTCTTCAAGTGACGTTTTTACCACCGGGGTTTGGCTACTGACTATCCACCGGGCGCATTGATTGAATGCTTTAAAAAAAAGTTTGAGACTCCACTCTGTATCTACCAGTATAAGAGCGTCCGCCCTTGACAGGAGACATTAAACAATTTACATGAAGGATCTGAGCAATAAGAGTCGAGCGTGCGCGAGGAGAGCGCGGCGCCGCGCGACTGGTAGCCGGGTTTTGACAGCTCGAGTAGCGCTTTCAGACATCACACGGAGATCAGTGTTGTGGACTCATAAAGATACACAAGGGTCCGAGTGGAAGGCACTATGCTGTTACCACCTCCAACACAGCAATGCACTTATTCCATTATTATTTCATAACGCTGCTGGTTTCCTTTACGGCTTCATTTTTTGCGTTATCGACTACTCTTTATTGAATTGTTTGTGTCTAAATGCGATTTAAAACATGTTGTGTCACATACCTGTCATACTTTCCTGTTGGGCGCATATTGTGTTATTTCTGTTAACACAATATTTCTGATTTTATGTGTGTGACGTGTCATGTATAGTCTTTGTTTCATGGTTTAAATATCACTTAGTAGTCCATTAGGTTCGTTTAACTAGAGTTGTGGGTGTCACGTGCCCTCATTAGTACAATTTCCATTAATATTTAAAGCTCTTCAATCGGCCCCGTTTCATTCGTTGAAGTGTGTAATGACGAAGAGGACTCCAGTCAAGGACAGGATTTAAGGTTGGGGAGTTTTGGGGCCACGCCGTTTCATTCCTGATTAGCAACATGTGATTGACTCTAATACAGACATTTCAAAGCCTTTTTGAAATGTCTGTATTAGAGTTGGTTGTTGTTTGCGCATTATTTGATGTAATTTGCAAGCTTTTCTCCAACAAAAGATCCTCGAGTTAAACACATATGTGTGTGTGTGTGTGTGTGTGTGTGTGTGTGTGTGTGTGTGTGTGTGTGTGTGTGTGTGTGTGTGTGTTTACTGTGAGTCAAACAACAGGCCAAAGCTCCGTTGTAAAATAAGCTGGTGAGCCTTGGGAATGTTTGTATTCACGACGCTTTTTTTCACTCACACCCATCCTGCCTGGAAAATACAAGGGCGCGGGGGGTGGGAGGGGCTGGGGGGGGGGGGGGG